GCTCTTCCTGATCTAAACTGCTGGACAAATGAAACGGAACAAGCGAATGTCTAGGTTAGCTTTAAATTCCAATATTACGCGAACTCAGGAAGATATCAATGAGCGGTTTGGGAAAGTATCTTTTAAATTACGCAAGTCGCTCATTGATTTCTTCTCTGGTTCGCGTAATATTGGAATCCAAAGTTGAACTAAAAATTCCCTTGTTCCGTTTCATTTGTCCAGCAGTTTAGTTACTGTACAATCGCTCTCTGGTATATAGTGAAGATTACTCGAGCTTTCACTGCTTTCATCTAAACTTTTATACCTATTCTGTACCTTCATCTCCTGCAATTTGTCTCTCTCTTTCTTGAGTATTCTCTATCTCATTCGAATTTTTATTTTCATATGCTATTATAAGTATGTAGGTACCTATATATTTTCCTGTTCCTCTACATTCTTGATTTGCATCATAGTCTCATCAAACCTAATATATCTTGATTGGATGATTCTATTTTCTGTAGGTGACCATAATCTGTAGCCTCCTTCACAATATCCCATCATCACTGCTTTTTGTGCTTTTGGATTTATCTTGTTTCTTTTTGGTAACACTTTAGCTCGACAACCAAAAATTCTCAATTAGGTCAAATCATTCCTTCCGTGCCACATCTGTGATGGCCCTCTTGGTAAAACTGATGTAGGGGTTCTGTTGAGTTCATATGCAGAACACTTTACAGCTTCTCCACATAGTGATTCTGGAATGCCAAAATCCAATAATTTTGTTCTTGTCATATTCAAAATAGTTCAGTTCATCCTTCCAGATTTACCGTTCATCTAAGGACTGTTTGTAGGCCATTCTATGTTTTAGTTTTCCTTTTGTCTGCAAAAATCTTTAAAACTTTTTGATGTAAACTCTCCTCCATTATTCAGTCTAAAACGTATCATTCTTACATTGTGCTTTGTTTCTAACTCGAACCTCTTAAATTTCGTTCTGTTTCTTTATTATTCTTAATAAGTAACTTCACAATACCGAAATGCGAGTAATCCTCAAGATTTATTTGAATTTATCTCTCTCCATTTACTGTGTTAGGTGTCACAGCCAACTCACTATGAATTGGTGAATTGATTAATGGCTGTTGTACGTACAGTCTGTCGTTTTTAATCTGATACTCCAAAGGAATGTGAGCTGGTGGTTCCCCACGTTAGAACGCCAATGCTGACCTATCCTCAAACCTGTTTTTGCCATATGCTTCACCCCTAGTAGCTTCACCCTCTCGCGCCTCATACGGTAAGTGTCAGATTAAAAACCCTCGGACAATAGGTATCTCATTGGTTACAAATGGAGAACGTTTGGCTTTCCCTTCAATACAAGTTAAACAGTTTCTGTTTGCAGTTTTTAAACCTAGCCTAATTGTAGTTCGGTATTTTTCCACTAAAATCTGAGGTCCTCTAGACGTCATTTCCCATGCTGACATCAAGTTATGCTTTATTTTTGATACACTCTAAGCCTCAATATAATATAAATAAACAGTTTGCCCTTGACAACTTGCTTTTAACGTTTCTAGCTTGTGTATCTTTAAATCTTATCCGTTGGCTATGTATACTGTTACATTTTGTGATAAGGTTTTAACATCTTGCATATACTGTTGTCGCGAAAGACATTCTATTTATGACTGAGATGGGGCCCTGTTTTCCCTGATGTGGCCTCCTTCCTCCCCTTATAGCCACCCCGATCCTCGCTACTGTTTCTCTGAGACAGTGATCTGCGGCTATTAAGTACTGATACTCTAAAACTGGCGTGAATCCTCTGACGTCACGTTTCCTGATACTGATACGTAAGTCCTCTACCTGGGATTGATATCAAGACAAACTACTTGAGAAGACTGATAATCTGACAATCTGTCACTGATACTAACACTGACATGAACTCTCTTCATTTGCCATTGAATTCAATATAAAAGTTACTTTACCCTCAGGTACAGTATAACATACATTTGCTGCATACAACACAACTTTATCTTCATTAGCATTAGCTTTTTGTTTATTATAATATTCACTTGATCTTTGGCTAAAACACTGGCGCCGAGTACATGGGGGCATTGGGGCAGGTGCACCCATGGTAGCTCTCATGGGGACTGCGGAAGTACAAACGTGCTTAATGGTCATTCCGATCAGTATCATGTAATTTAAATTTACACAACTTTGTATAAGAATTATACAGGTAGTATTAGTACTCTGTCCTTTAGTTATTTGTGGTCAGTTCTTCCCAATCAGCACATGTATGTCCCTGCGACTACGTATTAACCAAATACAACGTCGCCAGAGGTGCTGATAAGTGACCGCCAATGATTTTTCGTTGAAATTACGTCGTGCCGTGCCGTCGTCCTTGATAATATGTGGTCAGGAAATCGGACCTTTATCTAACTAGCTCAATTTTAACGTAATAAATGAAAACCAGTTTTAACGTTAAATAGGTGACGTCAAACCGTCGTCCTCTTGCAACGGTTTTTAAACGTCGTTCAATACGACTAATAATAAGGTAAGATAAAAAACGTAAATTGGACGTCATAATATTGTACCAAATTCAACGTTGCGTTGAAGGCGTCAATCCGTCGTTATCTTAATGTCCTGTAACTTATGAAACGTTTTTAAAATGTCGTCTGACACGGCCGATCATAAAGTCAGATAGAAATTCTTAGAAAAACGTCCAGCCAACGTTGAAATTGAACACAGGTAAAATTTGGTGTAGTATTTCATACCTTTTACGTCGTTCGTTAATAAACTGTCATCAGTCAAATGAAAGCATTGTTACCCGCAAAACGCGATTGAAAAGTAAATAATAAAATTTGAGGAAGTGAGACAGTGAATGGGTAACTCAAACAAAAAAAAAATAGAAAGAGAGGGTTGGTCGGTGGCGAAAATCTAGAAACCGGACTTCGTGTGAAGGGTTGCCGACTAGCTTCCAATGCGGAGAGGAGTGTGGATCAATTAAATAATTAAATATAGAGCACCACCTGCTTTTTCCTGTAGTACACGAAGTCAACCGATATAACGAAAGCAGGAAACTTCTACGGCCCTATAGCAGCACAACCTGAAATGTAAAAGTAAACAAGAACGAAGGGCAGAAGTGAAACGCTGTGCTACAATCAGGTACGGGTTTTTAATTAGAACCAGAACAGGTTTGACTCTAGAGTAAGTTCGGAGTGGGTTTTCCGAACGCCCTGGAAGACTGAAAATTATTAGCACTGGAACCAGAACAAGAACAAAATAAGTTGACTACAGTTTGTTTTTTTTTTTAAGATAATTCCCTAAGTCAAAAATTTAGTAACTATGTTGGCAACACAAGCCTTTTCTACATAAGAATTTTGAAAGCATTGTGGCATTGACAATTTTACATTGTATTGCCAACATAATGTCATTTTGACTTTTATTTTTTTTTAAAAAACAGACTTTAGTAGTTGATTGGTTATTGGTTGACAGTGACAGTCTGACAGTTGACAGAGGTGGCTAAAGTAAAACAAAACGTCAGTTAGGGCATATATGTAGCAATTGAATGAGGAAATTTTTTTAACGACCGTACGGAAAAATACTTTTCCGTACGCATTTTAGAACATGAAAGTACCAGGATGACTTAACATTGCATAATTATTTTACTTTTCCGCCAAAAATTCGTGCAGAAAAAAGTACTTTTCGTGCGTTCGTAGGAAAAGAATTTCGCCTCCAGCGGCGCCTGCGGCGTGCTTCCCCCTCCCTCTACAAACAAATATATAAAGTTATTATCCTACACCCATGAGGACTTACAAAAGTCGGCGCCTCTGGGCTAAAACTTCCACCTCAAATCCTCGTTAAATTCTCTACTCTTCCTCTAAACCTACCTCTCATATTATTGGACCACATATTTCGTTTTGGACACTGCTAGTTGTGGCCTTAAAACTAACCTCATTCTCCTGATCCCCATTTTCATCTCTTGAATTTAACTTTTATCTCTTCGTCTAAAAATCTGGCCTCGACAAAATCGATTCTTACGTCTGTTTACGCAATAGTATTTGACATTCAGTAAACTGGACTGCGACTGGAAAATCGCGCAAACAAATAGAAATAGAAATGAAAATGATACCATAGGGTTGTCGAAACACACAAAAGATATTTCCACTCACCTGGGTTTTCTTATAAGCTGTGTGTATATACGGGGATCCCCTGGAAAACGGTTCTCCACAACCATTCTCCACAACCACCAACGTATCAACATCGACTTAAGGCCCTTAAGGTCCGTTTTTAACGGCACAAAACATAGACTTTTCGAGCTTAAAACACGGAACCGGAAAAAATTGCAACGTGCATGTGAAGCAAATCTAGAGTGTAAATCCAAATCTTCAACGGCTGTCTCGGTCGGCGCAGGGTCGTAGAAAATACACTCCTGTGTGTTTTACGCGAAATTGACATTAAGTAATTCTTTAATAAGAATCAGAAGAAACCAAATTTATAATGTTGCGTTAACAACGTCACTTACGGTTTCTAAAGCAATAACAACTGCTGTGTCGAATTTTGACGGTAACGACAGCAATAAGTGACAAACTATATCACCTTCATCTATGTTTAATCCTAAATCTTTGAACTCCCTTATTATTGTGTCGAGCTCTAAGAAATGGTCTTCCAACTTCTCATTCATACCTAACTCCAGTCCCAGTAACTTTCTCCAAAGTGATAACGTCGTTAAAGCACTAGTTCTCACAAAAACATCCTCCAAAGCAGAAAGCTGTGAAGTCCAGATGTTTATCTGAAATACCTTGCACAATCACCGACTGTGCGTTAGAATCTAGTCGAAGAAACTTATTTTTTTCCTTAGTTGTTGCTCCTGCTAGTGAAAACTACAATTTTCGTAGTAGGTACATGCTCCGCAACAGGTTCGAAACGAAAGAATTCTACATACTATTATACTATTATGCAACAAGCTCTTCGAATTTCGAATCGAAATGGTCGTAAGAAAATATTTGATAATTTCAACCCTTATGTGTTCCTTCCAGGGTCGACAAACAACGAAGAGTGACGTATGGGCATTTGCAATAACCCTATGGGAAATTTTGATGCTGTGCACCCAGCAACCCTATGCCGAATTGACCAGCGAACAAGTCGTCGAGAATTCGAATCATTGGTATCAAAATGACGGATGTCAACGGTAAGAATCTCACTTGCTTTTACACAACAAAATTTAACGCACAAATTCATTAGGTATCTTCCGCGTCCTCCTTTATGTCCGAGAGAAATCTACGATCTGATGGGGGAGTGTTGGAAACGAAACGCAGCCGACAGACCCAGATTTTCGGAAATACATCTATTTTTACAAAGGAAAAATTTAGGTTTCATGCCTAATAATAATCAGCAAATAGCGTAAAGTAAAATTACGCTGAGTTTTGGAAAAATTCATTTTTTCTTGTTGTGAGTGTAAATTTGAGTATAATTTGGGACTCAAAAAAAAACTAGATAATGTTAAAACAGGTATTATGATTATGGGGACGCCTCAAGAAAAAAAAAAAACTAAAAACAATCATCGATATTAGACGTAGTTTTTTTACCCTTTACGCTGTACATTTAGTTGCTTCTAAAACCTACATGTTGTTTTTTTTTTCTGAGGCTTCTTCCAAAAAAAAAAAAATTTACTGCAGAATCTGTAAGTTCAAAATCATGTAAGGAATAAAATATTTTGAGGCTCGATGAAGTGAGTTCTATACTTCTATAGGGCCTAAATTTGATACAAAGTCTTGTTTACAGTTTACCGATTAGAAGCAACTTCAGGATTCTAGAACACAATAGAATACTGCCATAATAGTCGTGAGAGAGGATAAAATTTAAAAAGTAAAAACTCTTTTGATGATAATACTCTATCAATCCCTGAATTATTTTCTTTTTTGTGTACAATTTGTCTTAAACAAAGACTGCAGATTCTGGACTATTTTTTTTTTGTAGCGATAAGTAAGTACTTACCCTTGAAATGTGATATAGGGGGATTTTTGTCCCTTTATTAATTCATATCGCCACAAGGGTAATGATATATCTTTGTCTTTTTTATGTATAATAGAGTGCGTGCATGTATATATACTTGAAAAATATTCTGTGACCAATAATATGTGTACCTACTTGTAAAAATATTTGCATTATATCGATACTCACTTGTTGACAAAGAGCAAAAGGTGTAAAATTATTTGTTGTATTCTGTTTTGATGGAATATGATTTTCTGAGAAGAGAAAAATTTCCGTCAATTGTAAGACTTTTTGTACAACAATTTCTAGCTTTGAAAGACAAAAGATAGCATATTCTCATTGTTTTTACGCTTTTGATCTACCCCTAGGAATGACAAACGAAATGCTTTGGGAGTAAGGCTCTACTTCTTTATTATCCAAATTATCTCATCCTAATCGCTGCCTATACCTTATTGAGTAAATCGTACTCTCTGAAATTGAAAATGTATCCAACAGCAAAACTCTCCAAATTAAAATTTTATATTTCCATTACAAGAATGGTGTTTAGTTGAACCTCATCTAAATTTTGTGTAGCTGGGTTTCCACCATACAATTAAACCAGAAAACGTTACGTCATTTCAGCCAATCCTATTGAAGTCAGTGGCGGCTCTTGACTTTTTCAAGTGAAGAGGCTAATTACAGTATAGGATTTCATGAAATTCCTCGGAATTCCATTAAGAGTTCAATTTCAAAATTCCATATTTTTTTTTTTAACTTTACTAAAATTCCTCAAAATTTTACCACTGAAATATCCTAGAATTTCACAAAATTTTCATAAAATTCGTTGGAATTTCATTGACATTTCATGTAATTTCTTAAAAATTTCTCGGAATTCACTAAAATTTTATGAGAATATCCACTTTCATAACCGAAAATTTCTCGAAAGTCCAATGAAACTTCAAGGAATTTTCAAAATTTAATTTATTTTCATAAGAATTTTTCGGAATTTCACTGAAATTCTCTTTTAATAGCCAGAAATTTCTGGGAATATTAATGAAGTTTCAAATAATTTCTTAAAAATTCATCGTAATATATTGAAATTCATTGTTATTACATGGTAATTTTCCGGAATATCACCGAAATTCCATGTTTTTAGTTGGAAATTCCTCGGCAGTACTAAAATTTAGTAAAAACTGAAATTTCATGTTGGGAATTTCGGTGTAATTTCATGTAATTCATTTAGGATTTCGTGTAATTCGATCGGAATTTCACTAAAATTTCAAGTAATTCGAGAGGAATTAAAATTTAATGTGAATTCTATGGAAACTCCGCAAAAATTTCACATCTATTTCCTTTTTCAGAATAACATAATTATTCTACCGAAATTCCACTAAATTATGGAATTCTGAGATTTTAATAGATTTTTGGGGATTCCAAAGGATATTTAGGAATTTTAAAGGAAATATTTTCCAGAAATGTCCATGATTGGGTTTAAAATAACCTATAAATCGAGATTTGATAAAAACATATGGCAATGCTGCTCATGATACAACAAACGTTAAAAAATTGAAATATCAAAGTAGGCCTTGGTTTTTTTTGACAGTCGATATAAAATGGCGTCTTTTTGTTTTAAAGATTACGATCCGAAAATCCGAAGTATTAAAATCAGTTAACAATGAACGGGTTCGTATAATTCCGGCCCTTCGGGCTCGTATAACCTCGGACCTTCGGACTCATGATTAAAATAACTCCGGCCTGTCGGGTTCGTATAACTCCGGCCCTTCGGGTTCGCATGATTCCGGCCCTTCGGACTCGTATAACCTCGGCCCTTTGAGCTCATAATTGAGATATCTTCAGCCTTCCAGAATCGAGATTCGAAAAAAAAACATATGGCAACACTGCTTATAATACAACAAACGTCAAAAAATTGGCCCTGTTTGGCTACTTTTTACGTATTCGCCGAGGCTAAATCTATATGCCCATGTAGGTTTTTTTTTAATTTTGACTGTCAATGTCAAAAATTCTTACCTTTTCTTTTTTTCAAAAAACAAATGTCAGAAAACGATCCTCAGGCTCCGAAAACCCTAAAATAAGAAGTTTCATCGATATATGTCAAAAACCAACCGCCTGGCAACGTCGAACGTCTTTTTTGACATATGTTGTGGTACTTCCTACATATTCGCCGAGGCTAAATCTATATGCCCATTAAAATTTTGACAGCTGTCAAACTCAAAAAAAAAAAAATCTTGTTTTTTCCAAAAAACAAAGGTCGTTTTTTAGTGGGTTTCAGGGTGAGATTTATATAACAACATGTAGCAACAGTTGGTATAAAAAATTCAATTTCCCGTCGGGTTTGGAATTCGAATTTTTGAATTTTCCCGGCTCCTGATTGGTTTGGGGATTCAAATTTTGTTTATTCCCGGCTCTTGATTGGCTTTAAAATAATCTATAATTTCGGCCCTTCGAGCTCGAGATTTGAAAGAAAAACATATGGCAACACTGCTCATGATACAACAAACGTCAAAAAATTGAAATTTCAAACCTTCAGTTTTTCTGACAATCGATACAAAATGACGTCTTTTTGTTTCAAAGATAAAAATTCCAAAAAAAAAAACAACGAAAATGACATTCCAAAACCTACTTGATAAAACTAAAGTTTTTCTCACTTACTCCGTTAAAACACTGGAAATTTTTGGTGGAAAATGAAGAAAACTCAAAGTCTCGTACTTTAAATCGGTTTTTCCGCCCAGAAAAGCCCTGGAAAAGCGAACAAATTCAAAGAAAAACTTCTAAAAATGACATTCCAAAGCCTACTTAATGAAATTTGAGTTTTTGTCACTTACCCCATTGGAAAACTGGGAATTTTTAGCACAAAATGTAGGAAATTCAAAGCTTCGTATTTCAAATCGGTTTTCTTGACGGAAAACGGCTTGGAAAAACGGAAATTTCGAGGAAAAACTGGATAGAAATGTGAACACGTCAATTAAAAATTGCCGACTGTCAAAACTGGCAAATGACATTTATTACAAAACCTATTTGAAGTTGGTACAAACGGTGTTGCCACATCAAAACTTTAAAAAAAAACATTTTAAATGGGATTTTGTTATTTATGTCATTTTAAAACTGAACATTTTTGCTAGAAAATGAAGAAAACTCAAAGCCTCGTATGTTAAATTGCCTTTTTCCATTGAAAAGCCCTGGAAAAGTGAAAAATTCGAGGAAAAACTGGCAAAAAATTACAAGGCGTCACTTCAAAATGGCCAACTAAAAGCAACGTTGCCACATCTCATTTCGGAAAACATAAATAACATTTTAAATGGGTTTTTTGTTTAAAATTCAATTTAGTAATTAATTAATAATGATTATAATAATTAAAATTCCCCAAATGAATCATAGGAAACTTGTTTTAAGTTTAATTTTAATGAAAATGACATTACAAGGTTTCCTTATTGATTATAGTGAGTAAGACAAAGACAATGATAGAGTAGTATATGTTTGCAAAAACCAGCGTTTTCTGAAAAAAGTAAAAATCTTAAGAAAACCAACATTCCAAAGCCAATTTGATAAAACTAAAGTTTTTGAATATTCCCGACTCTTTGATCGGACGCTAAAAATCGCATTTTGAATACTCCCGGTTTTTGATTGGCTCCAAATTATCCGCTGACCAATAGAATTATAAACTAGGCCCCGTGATTAAAATAACTCTAGCCCTTCGGGCTCGCATATAACTCCGGCCCTTCGGGCTCGCATATAACTCCGGCCCTTCGGGCTCGCATATAACTCCGGTTCTTCGGGCTCGCATATAAGTCCGGCCCTTCGGGCTCGCATAAAACTCCGGCCCTTCGGGCCGGTATTACTGAGTATCCTAGATTCACAGATATTTATCGTGGAGGCGCGGGATTGATTGAAATAATGTTGTCAAATTTTTCTAAATTTCATTGAAATATCGAAAATTGGAAAGTGTAATTTGTTAATTATTATTTTAATTAGAAATCAGGAATAAAAAATTGAGATTGAATTTTCAATTTTTTGGGGGAGGTTTAGCCTCCCCTGCCTCCTCTGAAGAGCCGCCACTGTAAATTAGAATGTCATTATATCTGAAGGCAATTAAAGTTATGCAATAATGTTCCATAGTCAAAACACTCGAGTTATTAATATATATGCAGTAAAGTTCCAAAGTTAATTATAAAGTCAAAAAGTTCTACTAGTAAAAATCACTCAAGTTTTTAGGCATTAAAAATCATTATTAATTTACTTCTTATCATTCAGAATCATTGTTAAAAGTCAGAAAAACATTAATAATCACTCGAAGTACTTACATGTAAATAATTGTCACTCGATTAAATACTTAATTAATTACTCAGAAATTTTTAGCTAGCACGCACATAAATGTTGACGAATTTAATTGTTCTTTCTTTCAAAATTTTTCCGCTACTTTTTCAAAGACTGTTACCGAGGCAATACAAGAAACTTTCCGGACTGACACTTTAGGTACTGTAGATTTTAACTCAAACTGGACAGGACTGCGAACTCATCTCTCAACTGACTTCCACTTCTAAAACCGCGGTATTTACATTTAATCGATCCCCCCGCAAAGTATTATTAATTATCTCCCAAAATCATCAATAGGCGGTCGTTTGACCATCAATAAGACAATCCCATTGGCCGACCTAGATATTATTAAAAATAATGATGCAATTTCCTTGAAATTTTTAGCATTTTTAGTTTAAAAAAATTGAATAAGTAATTATGTCACAACATCCTGATTTACCGGGGTCAAATACATTGGTTCAAGAATGCCATAAATCATTCGATTTAATTATTTGGCCTCGCTAAAAAAAGTTCCTTGATCGGATGTTAGGATGACATCACGCTGGCGAAATAATATAATTTCGAATGTATTTGGGGTCACATTAATTTATCGATACTGATTTGGAAATACCAGAAATTCAGTTTTTGATTATTTGATATTATTTAATTTTTTACAGTAAAGACATTGTGATTTATGGGTCTATTTTCTCGGAATATTACAAACTTTAGCATAATCTCATTGTATTTACGCTTTTGATCTACCTCTACAAAATACTTTGAGAGTAAGGCTCTAATTCTTTATGGTCCAAATTAGTTCATCCTTACTGCTGTTTGTACCCAATTGAGTAAATCGTACTCTTGAAATTGAAAATGTTTCCAACAGAAAAATTCTTTAAGCTAAAATTTTATATGTTCATTACAAGAATGGCATTCAATGAGGCTACATCTTTGAACTACATATATTGAATTTTTTTGCTGCTGCAGCTTCTACAAATATTTGGTGTCGAACCTCATCTGTGTAGCTGGGTATTCACCATACAATACAAATAAACCAGAAAATGTTGAGCCAATTCTTCTGAAGTAGCTTGATGGATCAAGAGTGCTCAGGCTTTCCTTTTTATTCGGGATCAGCATACAGAAATGGTTTTTTCTTTGGCCTAAAAGTGCAGAAGTTGAATCGCAGCCACTGAAAGCGTAATGTGTTAATAAATTTGTGACGAAATGACTGGCTTGAGTAGAAGAGAAGCCACATTTGAAAATAAACCTAATTTTTGCAGTTAGAAGAACGAGAGAATCTCCCTACGGCTGGAAAGATTTCATCTTTTGAAAGTCAGTCAACCTTTTTACCCAACGCTATAGTTTCCATTTTTTGGTTGACGGTGACATTTTTGTTCCTTCAGCTCTTCATTAACAGCTTTAGCGTCATTTACTGGTTTAGTTAAACCAAGCAGCTCTTCCACCAACAGCTCTCAGAGCAGATAAGCCAACAAATAAAGTAATAAGGGGTGGAATTCTTTCTGTTTTTGGAATAAATTTTGATCGGTTTACATTAAATTTCTTTATAATTGATAAAGA